TAGAAAGTATTATCATTAAAATAAATTGATATAATATATATTACGAAACGGCCAAAGTCCAACAATTATTTTATCGTTAGACGTTATTTATATAGACACAAATATTTTAGTAAATGTTCTGTTTATAATAAACAGTATTAACAACATTTACCGTCCTGAATGTCCGAGAAATCTCATAGAAAATATGCATATGGAATCGAACCTGTAACCTACTCGGAACAATCATATAGCCTGATGTGCTATACCAGTTTAGCTACGAAGAAGAGTCGGATTATCAAGCTCGATTTTGCTGCTTTTAAATTACATTCAGACCAGTAAAAGATGTCAATACTGTTTATTATAAACAGAGCATTTACTTATATTTGTGTCTATAGAAATAACGTATAACAATAAACTATATTAAAATACATATTATGTTTATATTATTCAATGAATTATTTTTGAATGGATACTGAGTTTAGTAAACGTTAAACTACTTTTACATATATTCACTAAGTTACTATTCTCGCACTGCTAGCCTGTGGAACTAACTTCCGGTTTCTTGTTACCAACGATCTTTAAATAATTAAATTCAACATCAGTCACTATCTTCTGCCCTTTTTAAAAATTAGTCTTTTACTGGCCTTTCATCCTCAGTGACCATTTTCGTGCTACTGTTTTTTTTTGTGTGTGTGTTACTTTAGGTAAAATGTTTAAGAAAAATGCCAAAGAGAATTTTCTTAACGCCAGAATTTGTAAACCACAGTTTGTATATTTAATCTTTGATTTGGCACCCTTCTTTATTTAAAATGTGAAATTAATGACTACCGGCCTAGAAATCGATAACCCCTTCTAACAAAAATAACCGAATTTGTATTCCCCGTTTTTTTTTTTTCAAGAAAAAACCCTTTCATGCTAATTAGGCAGCAAAAAAATATCAAGACAACCGTAATGGTGTTTTTTGATTTAATATTATTCCCCACAGAATAACAGGTCACTTATTTAATCTCTGCTTGCTGAAATGACAGTACAAAGATGTTCTATAACCACACAGAAAGTTCTAAGCAACGACCCAGAAGAAGTCTGTCTATATTTCTGAGATGAGGTACTATGTACATTATTTACATTATTCGGACTATTGTCCTCATCTTTGTCGCCATATTTATCACAACTATATGCTAGGCCACAAAAATCACCTGATCCGACCAAGCATAGAAATAAATACAATATGGGAACCAGTAATAAGGAGTGCCAGAGAAAAGCAATGATAACAACAAAAGTTGCAATATGAGCTCTGGTAAAAACATGCAATGATAACAGCAAAATTGCAATATGAGCACTGGTAAAAATGGTGGCTGAAGACATTAGGTTTATAATACCCAGAAACCCATACCCAGATGAACACATGGCACAGTGGATAAAGGCGTTGATTAGATCCAGTGACAGGACCCAAAGAGTGTGAGTTCAATACCCGGTTAAGGCAATGGAAAACTTTCAGAGGCAAATTAACTGGAGATAACTGATAACTGACATCCATCTAACATGGCACGTGGAACTAGAACAGTCTACCCCAGTGAGCGAAATAAAGGGTTCAGTTCAACATTCCAGAGCGTACAACGGTCGAAACGTTGTGATAAATATGGCGACAAAGATGAGGACAATAGTCCGAATAATGTAAATAATGTACCCAGAAGAAGTTGAACAGTTGTTCCCTGTTTTTCATTATAGTCCCGGTTGACACCAATGCATTTGACCTAACGATGCTTAAGCGTTGCAATCACATCACGAAAGACGGTCCTGATTCTCCAAAGGTTCGCCTATCGTCCGGGTCACACTCCCACTCCCGGTCTTTCAAACAAGAGTAGAGTTTTTTTTAAGCATTTCACCCCTAGCAAGGCGGGAAGCCACTAGCACGCAAGGGGTTATAGAGAATTTGGAGCGATAGCAGACAGGAATGATAGAGGAAAGGTTGAGGAGAAGGATAGGGCAACTGGAGATGTCGATTGACATTACATTTGAATAGTTGGAGATTAAAGCTATCAGGGAAACAGGAGTAGGGAAGGGAGTTACACAGGCGAGAGGTGCGAGATATGAAGCTGTTGGAGTAGAAGAGGCGGTTACATTTAACAGTTTCAACAATGAAAGGGTGAGAGCGGAATGCCAGCCTCGTAGGGCGCTTGAATTCATGAAGTCTGGGAACCAGCGCCAGCAGCTCATCGGAGCAATTGCCATGTAAGTATTTGTAAAAAAGACAGAGAGAGGCGACAGCACGTCTGTGAGAAAGTGACTGTAGACGAGATGCCAGAGCAGGGCCAATTATATTGCATATCCAGATCTATGGATCTTGTCAAGAACCCCGAGGCAAACAGAAGGGGCTCCAGACCATATATGGCAGCAATACTCCATGCAAGGGCGAATGGTTGATTTTTAGATTTGAAGGATCAATTCCGGGGAGAAAAATTTCCTGGCGCGGCACAGAGAGCCAACGTTCCTTGCGGCGGACGAAGCAATTGACTCAATG